ATATATATATATATATATATATATATATATATATATATATATATATATTCATGTAGAATGGAATTGATGTTGGGTTTGGTAGAGTATAATTATTATCCCAGTACGTGAGAGTCTAAGGGAAGAGGCTCTCTAATTTGAGGCCAGTCTGGGCTACTTAATGAAACACAATCTCAGAACACCAATCCAATCAACCCTCTTAGCAAGTGTGTCCATTCATTTATCTGTGGGCTGTGTGTGGCCAAGAATAGTTATGAATGTGGCCCAACACAAAAATCATAAGCTTACTTAACAACATTGAAATTTTTTGATGTGTTTTTTTTTGGGGAGGTATCTTGATTGTATAGTTCTTGAATATGACCCTTGTAGTAGACAAAATGTGTCAAATGTGTCAAAATGTTGGCTATGCCTGCTTCTCACAAAAATGAATTAAAAGATTTTCATTTGTGTTGAAAAAAATAGGTGTTAAAAAGGTTCTTTTTTGTAGCAATTTTCTCTAGCACACCTATGCTGTGTTTTAAATGATAAAAGTTGGGTTTCACTCTTCTTTTTCTATTGCTGTGGAGAAACACCATGACCAAAGCAACTTGTAAGAGAAAGCATTTACTTTGAGGTTCTTGGTTCTGGTGTGTGGGGGGGAGCAGAGTCCATGAATAACATGGTGAGGAGCATGGCATCAAGTAGGCAAGCAGGCAGGCATGGAGCTGGAGCCATAGCTGAGAGCTTACATACCGAGACTACAGTCATGAGGGAGAGAGAGGGGGGGGGGAGGGAGGGAGGGAGGGAGGGAGGGAGGGAGGACAGGGGGACCAACTAGAATGTCTTGGGTTTTGAAACCTCAAAGCCCACCCCCAGTGGTATGCGTCCTCCAACAGGACCACACCTCCTAATTTTTCCCAAACAATACCACCAACTAGGGACCAAGCATTCAAATATATCAGTCTGTGGGGGCCATTCTCAACCAGACCACCACAGTGTCTATAGTGTTTTTCAGTAGTTTGCTTTATAGTCTTGGTTTACACGTAAACTGACAGGAAGGACGGCCGCTTGTGTGATGAGGGAGTGTGTGCATGGGACGCTTCCTGCCTGTGCCAGCACTGTGTGGGATCTCTCCTCACTTCTCTCCTCTTCTCTGTCTCCCTTCCCACTGGGCTATCTGTTTTTTTTTTTTAAACAGTTTTGGGGATAATGCTGTATTCTAAGAAGCAGTGCAGTCTAGTTTTCCAGCGACAACTCATAATAAACAAAAACCCCGGGACTTTAAGAGACCCTCTGAGTGAAGGCGTTAAACGCTCCCACTTTCACACACAACTGGATTTAGGTTCCAGTTCTGAGAAGGGCAAACGGGTGTCTTTTCCAACAAAGGGTCATTTATCTACAAGGCCCTTACATGCAGTTTTGAGGGCGAGAATGAACACAGAGGGTCTAAGTCAGCCTCACAGTGTCTCAAGGTCAAACCCAGCAGCCCGCTTCTGAGTCATGTGCAAGCTTGTGCCGATGTGTCCAAAACGATAAGACTAGGCCTCAGCCAATTAGAAATATACTAATGTAACTGCTGCTTGCTTAACCAATTGTGTAGCTGACCCTGAAACACCCCTTAGCCGTGCTTAAAAGGAGACTGAACGTCCCTCTCAGGGTTGTTAACATTTGCACTGGTGAACGGCTCCACATGCAGGCTGGTATTATAAACATTCTTTGTTCTTACAGGCGATTAGAGTCTGGGGTCTTCCTTCAGTGTTTCCTCAGACTCTACACGAGTTAAGTGTCATAGAGATCACAGACTTGAAGGGAAACTCAGAGGTCACCAGCATCTTCTCCTCTCTGTAGGTGAGGACTCTGAGGTCACAGAGGTGAGCACCTTGGCCAAGGCCACTCATCTCATTAGTGGGACCACAGCAGGGGTTGAGATTTCTTAGTCATTGTTCTTTCTTCAGCTCAGACTATAGTAAGGTCTGGATTATTTATTTTTCCTTAGAGATTGAGAGAGTTGAATTGGAGTCTTTCCCCAGTAAGGGACTCTTTCCTTAACACAGCCCGGTTCCCAAGCTCAGGCCTAGCACGATTCCATAACTTTCCAGGTCAGGACAAAACGGAAAACATACAGGGAAAGGCACACCTTTCCCCACCTCGTCTTGCCCCAACTCTTTATCTCCACCCCTACCCCAGTCAGTCCCCACACACACAGAATGTGAGCGTCAAGAGACCCAGAAAGGCCAGAGTGTTTACCTCTTTCATTCCCTGATAGACGACAGGTGCCTGGCACAAAAGAGAAACCAGGTGAGTCCTTGCCAAGAGGTAAATCCCTGGACCGAAGGCCTCCTATCCACCAGGCACTCTTCTTTGACCCCAGAGCTTAAACTCGGAAGTAAATTAATATTTCAGTTCCTCCTGCCTGTTCCTGGAAGACTCAGAGGGACTGTTTAGACTGAAGGGCCGTTTGCTGCTGCCTGGATCCCTTACATCCCGCTAAGCCTCACTACTCTGGCTCTACGTATGAACGCATACGTAGACGTACGCACACTGGGCAGTGTAGAGTGATTTTTGTAGCACCTAAATATTCATTTGTTTCTCTAACATATATTTTATCCAGATTTGTGTGGCACCTAAAATCCCCACCATGGAAATGATTTCCTGAGTTAAGGAATATCTATCGTAGCCCGACTCTAAATGATCAGTCTTTCACTTAGGGACACTAAACATTAGCTGTTAGGAGCACCACTGCTTTTACCCAAATTCATTCCTTAGATCTGTGACAGAAAATAGAAACAGGAAATGGACACATTCCATCGAGGAAGGAGAGACAAGAAAGGGCTGAGAATGTTCTAGAACAAGAAGGTATTAGAACATTTCGGTACAAAGTGTGATCTGGAAACGTGTGTGTGTGTGTGTGTGTGTGTGTGTGTGTGTGAGAGAGAGAGAGAGAGAGAGAGAGAGAGAGAGAGAGAGAGAGAGAGAGAGAGCATGTTGTATCAAACCTTTCCCAAAGAAAGCTGCATATTGATTTCTGTTCTAGTTGCATATTCTTTGTTTCATCACTATCCACAGCAAGCCCACGGAGCTGCTGATGTAGAAAGTGGGATACTATTGAGGCAGAAGGGGAGCTGCATAGCACTGATCTAGAAAGTGGGATACTATTGAGGCAGGAGATCTTTGGGAGACACTGGGAGGAGACCCCTGAACTTACCACAGCAACATGACCATTGTTCTTTGAAAATGGGTATGAAGGTTAAAGTCAAATATACCTACTTAAAGTGATGTCTAAGGACAGGGCTTAAGTTTTAAATTTTATTACTTTCAATCTATTTAATTTTTCTGCTCACATAACACCTTGGACTGAGGTATTCTATACCTCTGCAGTACCATGGGAGAACAGAGTCTAATCTAAATGAGTTCAAATCCCTGCTTCTGCCCTGATAAGCTTGGGGGATCTTGGGCAAATAATTTTTCTCTTCCTTCATTTGTAGAAATTTAAACGTTAGAAGATACTGTACACATTTTATTATAGCAATTAGGTGTGGCATCATCTCAGAAAGCAGAGTTCCAGGTACAGGGATGTTTTTTAAATAAATGGATCCTGTGACACTTTAAACACATTGTCTCACACGTTCCTCTCAGCACAGATGTGAGGCAGCCCTCTCTGGTTTTGTGAGTGAGCATCACACTACACACCTGTGATCCCAGCACTTGGGAAGTGTGTGTGTGTGTGTGTGTGTGTGTGTGTGTGTGTGTGTGTGTGTGTGGTGTGAGGGGTTCAAGGCCTTGGTTACAAAGCTGAAGGACATGAGTTGCTATTTCAAAAGATTAAAAAAAAAAACAAAGACAGGAAAAAACAACAAACAGACAGACAAAACCCAAAACAACGCCCCAGATAAACACCCGCCCTCAGCAAAATCAAAACAAAACCCAAAGCCTAACAACAGTTGAATGTTTGGTCTAAAGTTGGAGCTGGCGTCATGGTGACTCACAGTTCAAAAGAGCTGCTTAGAAGTGGCCCCCACAATTTTCCTAAAGGCTTTTTTTTTGTTCTCTCTGGTACTAATGAGTTAGCTGCGTAGGCAGCGGCTTGATAAGGGGAAAATGAACTGAATCATTAAGCTTTCTTTATCGTCTCCTCTTTACAGACCACAAAACTGAGTGGAGAAATTTCCACCAAAAACTTTAATATGGAAAAAAGAGGAAAGAAATGAAAACATCAGGATCCCCCCCACAAAGCTCTGCAAAGGTCAATGGGATTAATATACCCTTTGAACATGGTTATTTAGCTGAGATAAAGGGAGCAACATGGGGGAAACGTCAGAGACCACTTGTATAATAGCAACTTAATGTATCTGCCCTTTTCTCTTCTTTTGTAGTGAATGTGCGGTTGCACGAGGCAAGCTGGTTCATGGAACCACCCCGAAGAGGTGTTCTGGAAATCGGTTGATTATCTCCAAATGTTATTTTTCATTCTCGGATTCATCAAAACCATCGACTCAAGGTGCCTTGCGAAGAATGAGCAGATAATGGACAGGTAAAATTGATGGATTAGAAACAGAGAGAAAAATGTGTGCTTTTGGGGACATCTGCAACTGCCTTTCATATTCTGTGTAATTTAAACAAACTACTTCTAACTTACTTTATAGGTCAAACTTAATTTTTAACCTCCCGTGAAATGAAAATTAACCTTGAGGCAAATTCGTAGAATTTCCCAAGTAGAAATTAGAGCCCCAGCAGACACTAATAAGTGTTTCCAGGAGGAAAAAAAAAAGATTGCATATGTAGTTAAAAAGTTTGGACATCACTGGGGTTGGCAGAACGTCATACTTTTCAGGCACTCTGATGTGTTGATGTTGACTGTGGGCCACCTGGAATGCTGCAGACAGTGAGAAATCACTTGATTCTCTAAAAATCCTCCTCCACCTGGACACTTTCTAATGTCTTACTGGGACAGTGTTCTCTGGAGTACGCTTTCGGAAATGGCGATCTCCTATAACACTGTTTTCTTTTATAGTTTGGAGAATAAAATTTCACAGAGTTTATGTACCTCATGGCATATTAACTTTGTATCTGCCTATGAGGTGTGACCGCAGAGGGATCTAAATTGTCACTGCATGAGCCTGGAAACACTGCATGGAGGTGAGCTTGGTCTTTCACAGAAGGGCCTGTGAGTGCACACGCAGTGTCTTGGAGATGACGGCATCATTCACAAGAGTTTCCAGGTTTCTCTTGGGTATGGCTTCCTTCGGGTTTCCAGATAGCCAAACGTCACAGCCAGCCAGGGACTGCAGAGAGACAACTGAGAAGGAACAGTGGATGAAGGCACCTGAGACACTTTGGTTGCCATCTGCTCATTACTGTGACGAAACTCTCACAGCCCAGCCTCTTCATCTCTGAGTTGGTCATTAGAGTAGCTACTTTTGGGTGGCTGGGTGTGGTGTTTGTGCTTGTAATCTCAACACTGGAGTGGCTGGGATAGGAGGGTTATGAGTTCAAAGCCAGTCTGGGCTGTTATAGAGTGAGGCCCTGTCTCTGTCCCCACCTCGACCCCAGTAGCAAGCAGTCTTCTCGTCACTATTTGCATTAAAGGAGATGAAGAGTGTGGCTATGCTTTATAAAACTGAGGTTAACCGTGCAGTTTCCATACATTAGCTTGCTTTGAGGAAATTACTTTATTCTCTTTCCCGTTAGAGAGGGAATGGACTATAGTTTGGATTTAGGTGTCACCCAAAGACTCACATGTTTCGGGTTTGATCCTCAGTCTTGGTACTACTGGAGGTGGTAGAAACTTTGAGGTGTGAGGCTCAGAGGGGAGGTCTTTGGGTTATTGGAGTCATGCTCTTGAAGAGGATTACTGCATAATAAACAGGACCCTGAATATCTCTTGGAAAAAAGTCATGCTTTCTATCTCAATCCCCGTGTGTCAGGAGTCTGCACTTGGCTTAGTTAGGTTGTCTTTAGGGTCTGAGTCTCATCAGAACAGTTAGAGCTCCTGCAGTCGTCAGGAACACTGTTCCATCCACTATAGAGAAGGCTGACTGCGGGCTTGATTTTCTCAGGCATGGCCTGTGAGTTGTAGGCTTGCCTTTATCTCCTTGCTATTCAGTCTTCCCAGGGTGACTTGCTTGCTTCCTCAAAGCCAACAAGGACAAGAGCTGAGCAGAAAGATGCTTGATTTTGTGACTTGATCATGTACATGTAATATTCTCTAGCCAGGAGCAAGCTCCAGACCCATCCTTCCCCCGAGTCAAGGGAAGGATGTCACATGAGGATATTGGTACCATGGAGTGGAGGTCATGAGGAACACCTTAGCTTTTGCTTGGTATATTTTGACCTGCCAAGAACCAGCCCACCTTAAAAAGATCAAGGATTTGGCAGGATTTGTTCCTGAAACCAATCTTAAAAGATGATTTTTTCCCCATTTTTTTTTTCAGGATAAGTGGACCCACTTTTTGGGATTGGTACCTGGTTTCAACCAGCATTTACATCTTTTCATGCTGACATTGAAGATAGCTACATGATTTCATCATTGAATTTCATCTATTCCAAAATGAGGAGAGTGTTTGCATGACCTCTCATTATCTAGAGAGATCTAAAAAGATAAGCCCGCCTTTATCTGACTCTCCTTGACTTTGTGTAGTCAGGCTTCTGAATTTACCACACAATAGAAGGGGCTTTCACTTCTCTTTGGCTGTGTACGCCTATGGGAGCTGTGTTAAGATGTTCCAATGGCTTTTATTAAAATCGAATACAATAGTCGGCATTTGGTATTGAACCTCACGAAATGGAAGGAGTGAGGTATAGTGCTGTGTCATGCTCATCTGCAAGGCAATCACCTTGAGGAGAGTGACACACGTCTCAAGGCATCACAAAGAAACCCAACTTAGTAAGTAAATTCCCTGAAGCCTAAGGCCGTCATAACTTTGGAGTTTAAGGATGCTGTAACATCAGCGAACCACGGGGTATAAAAATCTCTTAATTTTTGAAGATACACTTTCAGTTGTACTTTAACTAGGGAATAGGAAGGAGAGTATAACCAGCCACATGAAAAATGAAACTGAGCTGGAAGGGTCTTGCTTAGTTTCTACTCCATAGAAACTGCAGTGAGCCCATAATAAATACATTTAGATGCTGAGATGGCTCCCCGGAAGAGAAGCCTCTGTGAAGATTTTTCAGAACTCTGATTCATTCCCCAGGATTTGCAGTCGTGTTATTGATTCATTACTTTCAGTTCATTTGAAGCATTATTCATCTATGACTTTGGCTTGTGGTTTGAGTTCTACTGAGAATAAAATCAGCAGAACATTTTTTCCCCCTTGAACTCCAGGTTTTTTTTTTTTTTTTTTTTTTTTAGGATGTCTGTGGTAGCACTAACAGAACCTGGAGGGTTTTTGTCATGAGAAAGGTTAGGTTTGTGTGTATTGAAATCTGATCCACTCATCATTGAAAGTTGGGTTATCATAGGAGAAGGTGTAGGCTGTTTAAGTAACTATGTAAGCGAATCTGAGGTTTCTTATAAATATTACTGTTTGGAGAGATTTAATATCTTAGGCTTATACTTTAGAAAATGTCACATTTCTAGAATAAATCAACCCAAGACCTCCCAAAGAGAAAAACTTTAACATTACCTCTAATGGCAGATTGATGAACACAAGAGCTAGCTCACCATCATCTTAGATTTTCAGTCCTGTGTCTGCCCTTACCTGATCTGTGCCCTTGAGAAGTTCACTTAACCCCAGACTCAAGCATTATAGAAAGCGCTTTTGAGATTTCCAATCCCATAACTTCTAAGGAGAAAGAAAGGTGGCAACCTTTTACAAATAAAGTGTCAAACTTCTAACCTCTGATCTCCTGGTATTTTCAAGGGATATTTGAGGTCACTTTGTGTTGACTCCTGTGAGCCGGGGTGAGAGCGGAAGTACAGGAATGATACAAAGATGAATAGCAAGTCCTGAAGGGTCAGAGGGAATGTGTTATTGATAAATTCAGCTATCTTTATTGAGTATCTTCAAGTGCAGGGATCACTGCCCGGTATTAGAAGAGGTGTAAAGAGAATTGAGACATAGTCCTCTGTTTTAGAAAGGCTCATAGGACAGGAGGAAAGTAAGACTTGATAAAAAAAAAAAAAAAAGCCTGAGAAAACTAACTGCCGGCAAGGCATGGGGTGATTATTACTATTGGAAAGGTTTAAAAGAGGTGTTATTAGGGTTTACTCAGGATGATTATATGAGTTTGGAGAGGAAGGTTCCAGAAAAGAAAAGCCTTCATTAAAAGATGACACTTGACTTGAACTTTAATGGATGGAGAGGTGTTTGCTTGATGAAAATGAAGGGAAAGTAGCTTTGGGTAAAGAAAGTCAGAGACACTATGCTTGGAGATAAGAAACTGTAGCCATTTGAAATAAATTTGAATGAGGCAATGGGGGCTGGCAAGATGACTCAGTTGGTAAAGGGTTTGCCATACTGAAGTGAGGACCTGAGCTTGGACTTCCAGGATCCATGGGAAAACCTGGGCATGGTGGTGCTTGCCTATGATCATAGAGTGCTCTCCCCCAACATAAGGTGGAGAATAATTGAGGAAGACTCCCAACAGGGACCTCTAGCCTCCACAAATATGCATTGCACAGACAGACAGACAGACAGACAGACAGACAGACAGACAGAGGCATGCACGTACGGGTTGGGGTACGGTACAGGCAATGGACTTATGACTTAACAGCCACTAAGTTTTGGCAGTCCAGACAGGTTACGTGGCTGGGCATCTGGCTCACCTAGCATGCTCGTCCTCTGAGACACACTTTTCTTCACTTCGCCAATATGACGCATTTTAAGGAGACAAGGGTCATTGCAACCTGTCTAGTCTTGCACGGACCCAATGTGGTTGCATGGCCCTTATCTGTGTAGTACAATGCTTTCAAATTGCATTAGGGAATTGCTGAAAATCTTTACCATTTCATGGCAGCAAGCGCTCATATTGGCATTACTGAAAAACCCTTCTGACTTCTACATGCAGAAAACCACTCTCTGTTTAGCATACACTCTGGACATGAGAATGGCCTGGTCCTTAAACCAGAGGAAATGGGGCCATCTCCAAAGCAGACTAAATAAGTGGAGAGAGTCACCTATTTTTATTATCCTGGTGCCTATTACTTTTGCAACCTCTTTGGACTTAACTGTCCATTAAATATTTTTTCTGGAGTTATTTTTTTAACTTTATTTTGCTCTTGTTTTCATTACAGAATTCTCTGCCAGCTGCCTCTGTTATCAGAGCCCACATAAAGGCATGTGAGGAATAAGCGGCTCTTATGCAATTTCCCCCGTCCTTGTCAATTGCAGGCATAACTCTCATGAATTATTTAGACTCGTATTGTCCTGGAGTGAGCCCTGGAGTGCCTCAAGTAGTCACAAGGAAGGCTCTCGAAGTTTACCTCAGGAATCAGACTTGTGGTGAGGGAAGAGAGGTGCTGGGCGCAGCTTGAAGCCTGCGATAAAGGCTGGGCCAGAGTCCTCAAACGAGGTTCTCAGTACATTTGTGCTTGTGGGGTCAATGTTATCATTGGTGTCCAATGGTAGCTAACTTCAAAGTAATTTTTTTTAAGGTAAGGAAGAGGAAGATTTGGGAGCAAAAAACGCAACCACATGTAGCAACCACGTCATCGTCGATACCCTAGCAGGAGGCATTTAATGGGGGCTTCTGTGTCAAGGACTATATAACCTGGGGGGCGGAAATCCCACAAAAACGGTTTTTGTTTTCATTTTTTTTCAGATGAGGAAACTGAAGTGCATGGATGTTAAATTGTCCATTAACGTGGTGGAGTGTGACGGGCAGAAGCTGCCTCGCAGAATGAGGCAGAACGTGCAGCTTTGCCCTCACAGCAGGAATGGCAAGCCCAGAGTGGGTGTGATGGGGAGCTTGTGTGTGGCAGATGCTGTAGAAGTCAACCAGGTCTCATCTGTGGAAACGAAACACCTCAAAACCTCTTGTTTTTAGAGAGGGCTGGAGACTCTCATTCCCTAGCTCCCCAGAGTCCTGAAGACACTGGGTCCTTCTCTGGCTGTTGTCAACAGTAGATGGAAGCCGGAGAATCTAAGACCACGTTTTCTCCTTGCGGTAGCTGGAACCTGGGTCCGTGTCTATGAGAGAGAGCCTCCCACAGGGCTGTGCCCTTTGCCTTTCCATTGGACAATCATCCCAGTTTCAGACTCTGACCACATGTCCTCTGTTCTGCAGGCATGGAGACCAAAGCTCTTCCTGTCGTCGTTGGCACACCATTTCAGCGTATGGAGAGAGCTTTTCAGGAGGTTTACTTTCTCTTCTGGCTTTGACATTTCCTTTCCTGCTGGACCTAGAGTGTATTACACCATCTGACAGTCTCTGCTTTAGTATATGTTCAATGGGAATGGTGGACCCATGTGGCCGCTGGGATCAGCTAAGATGAAATGTATGAAACACATTGCGTGGTACTTAGTTGGTGGCTGGTCCCCAAATTTATAATAGACAAATCTCCTATATTGCTTCTCTTGTATAAACGCATATGAGTGAGCCTGGAGGGAAGGAGAAAAAGAGAGAGAGGGAGGGATGGAGGGAAGGATAGAGGGAGGGAGAGAGACAGAGACATGGATTCCAATCTAGGCTCTTGACTTTCATGTCCTTTGACTGAAACCTCAGAGACATATTTTACTTCACTGTTTGACACATATGCACAGACGCTTACAATTCAAATACAGATTTTGTGAACAAATATAGGCTTTAACTACATGCAATGTGCTGTACTCTTTACCACTCTGTCTAGTTCCTCCCGTTCCCTATGGAGTGGAGAAACCAAACTCCATATCCCCAGAGGCTTCTTCTCCCTACCCTCAACTTAATAGAGAGCTGGCTCAGGAAGTCTAAGCCATCCCATGGAAGGACAGACTCTCTCTGTCATTTCCTCAAGCAGGCACTCCCTGTACCCCTGTGTTGTAGAGACCCACGGGCCTGAGTCTTTTGCTGTGGATGCCCAGTCAAGTCAGCTCAGCGGGATGCTCAGGAGGAAGCTCCTGTATACACTGCTCCTGGTCTTCTTCTTTTTTTTCTGAGACAGGGTTTCTCTGTGTGGAGCCTGTCCTGGAACTTACTCTGTAGCCCAGGCTGGCCTTGAACTCACAGAGATCCGCCTGCCTCTGCCTCCCGAGTGCTGGGATTAAAGGCGTGCGCCACCACCGCCTGGTCTTCTTATAGGTCTCCTATGAGCATTTGTTTGAGACAAGACCTCTTTGTAGCCCAAGCTGCTCTTGAACTTTTGATCTTCTGCTTCCATCTCCTGGGTGCTGGGATTGTAGGCATGCGCTCTTACATCTGGTTTATGTAGTGCGAGGATTCAACATGGGTTTTACTTGTTTAAAAACAAGCCTGTCAGATCTAGCTGGCTTTGCCTTCCTGGAAGCAGAGTGACTGGAGGACCATGGGCTCCTGTTTGGACCTCAGTTCTCTGGTGAGGAAGAGCTGTTCTTTCTTCATATTGTTCATTCTTCAAAGGGAGGTTGGTCAACTCAGCCTGGAGCAAAAGAAGCCTAATTCTCATTTGTGGTCCAGGCCACAGAAGGCTTTGTTCAACTTCCTGTGGTCTTGACCTCTTATCTGGGGCAGGCATGAAGAACAAAGCCACCCAGAGGGGTGGGGAGGTGCTTCTCTCTGGTGCGTCTGCTAAGTGGTTAACCGCAGGTCATGAGAACAGGTGATGGTTGGAACGATGAAGAAAGCCTACTCTACCAAGCACCGTGGAGTTCAATTGCTAAGTTACTGAAGACCAGTGCAAGTGCAGTGGTGGACAACCATTTAGAGAGGTTGGTGCTGATGACCTTTCCTGGACAGCCCGTACCCAGACACAACTGAAGAGGAGTTGCATCAGACCTCACAGATGAGGGATGTCATGAAAAAGGTGAAGGGATTTCTGGTTTGCTTTCCCACTCTCATAAACGAGGACCCCTGTTACAGAGCAATTGAACTCGGATATGGGAAGGAGACTTCTTCCACACTTCAGCTGTTGTGCCAAAGGACATAGGTTATGGCATGAGATGGGGGTGGGGTGGCATCTACAGCATTAAAGGGGAACATCTGAGGAGCAACAGCAGGAGAATTTGGAAAAGGAGTTCTTCATAGAAATGCAATGAAAACCGCGCTGAGATTTCATCTTTTCCAGTTGGTGTGGCTCTTATCCTGCAAACCAAAGATGACAAACACTGGCTGAGAAACGGGGAAAGAAGAGCCCTTCACACTGCTGGTGAGAGTGTACTCTGGTGCAGCCACTGGGGAAATGGCTGTAGAAATTCTTCAAAAACTAAAACCGAATCACCATGTGAACCAGCCATGCCGTGCCTATGTTTATACCCTAAGGCATCTAATTCAGACTACCACCACTGCACATCCATGTGTACAGCCAAGAAGTGGAACCACCAGCAAAGCTATTAGATGTAGATAGAGACAATATGGTTCATGACATGATGGGTTTTGCTTAGCTGTAAAGAAGAGTGGAGCTGTGACATTTGCAGGAAAAATAGATGGAACAAGAGATCGTTAAGGGAAATAAGCCAGACTCAGAAAGACAGCTAGCTCATTTAGTGGGAAGGAGAGGGCCAGCAGGGTGAGGGCACTGGGCAAGGGGGACTGGGGATGGGGATAGACACACAGGGGAGCTGGTAGGGGTGAATATGAGCAAGGTGCAATGATATGCCTGTATGAAAATAACATAATTAAACTCAATATTTTGTATGCTAACCACAAAAAAATTTTAAAAAGAGTTTATCCCATATCCCATCCTGTGCTTGAACAAGAAACTCTTTCCCTGTAGGAAGATAAGGCCTACTCGCTGAGAGATGAACCAACCTGGATTCTGCCTGAGGGCCTATCAACAGGCACTATCACAGGTCCTGATTGTGCCTAGCCAATGAAGGGTGACTACTCAGTGTCACTGGATAGGGATGCAGCCTGGGTGCTGGGAGGAGGGTGTGTAAGGATCTTCCCATTGCTGAATAAACGAGTCTGTTGTTTACCTTTTACCTGACTCCCATTGTCTGTGCTGTTGACGCTGCACCCTCTCACTCTCCCCCCCAAGGGAGCTGTTAGGACCCAGCAACATTTCCCCTTTTACTTTCCTGTCTTACTTTTATGTGTGGTCTATGGAGTTTATGAGAAGGGTTACAGCGAGAGAGGGCAAGGGGGTGAGAGAGGAGAATGGGAGGGTGAAAAATGACTAAAATTCATTTTACATATATGAAACTGATTGACCACATACGTGAAAAACAGTTCCCTGTATCCTGATGTTCTTTAATCTTATGCTAACGGACTAGAAAGCACAGGTCTCAACTTTAGCACTGGCAACTTTAGGGCCAGCTGACTGAGGATCTGCTCACTGTTCACATTCATCGTCGTCTCCGGCTCTACACAGGTACTGTACATCTCCTCACCTCATCTGTGAAAATAAAAAAAAAAAAAACTTCATGTGTTGACAACATCATTTCCGGTTGAGAACCAGGATTTAGATCATTATATTGTCCTGTGACTACATCACTCTGCCGTCTGCCTGTCTGTCACAGGGCCAAGCATTCCTACTTTCAACACATAATAATGTCAAGACTTTTTATAATGTTCCTATTTACTTCTGATGCACATGAATGCCACATTTCCATATATGGAGTTGGACACATTCTCACAATGACCATTAAACATGAAGGAAAGACTATGAAGCCCAACTGCTGAAGAGACACACTATCTTCCCTTTCTTGGTTTGGTACAGAGAGAACTCGGATTTATCAGGTGATGTAAACGGAGGTTTCATTGGATATTGATTAGAGAGAAATGCTTCAGTGATAAATCCCATGATGAACCCCACAGCTTATTGTTAAGCTAGAATCAACAGTAATATATTAAGATTTCTCAGGGATTGCCAAGGTCAGTGTTGTTAACGGAGTCCACAACAAGACCTTTTCAGAAAGGAAGCACACACTCTCAATTTAGTGTAAGCCTGCCCATCCCTTCTCCCGTTCTTGGCCTGGCTTCTCTTCCTCCCAGTGTGTGCTGGGAAATGCAAAGTACTTTAGCCTAAACAAAACATAATGGAGGAAAGAGAAGAAACTGGGAAAATAATAATAATCACGTCTCCAAGCTCGTGGACTCTTGGTGTTTGAACGCTCTCTGTCAGGATGCCCTCCACACAGGGCTGACTGTCAAGTACTGGCAGGGAGGAGGGCGGTTGCTGGCCTTAGTGGAAACGCAGAAGCACTCAGAGAGAGGAAATGTCTTTGTATCCAAGGAACAAACAGTAGTTACCCTCTCAGCATTTAATAGCCTCGGCAAGGTGAAGGTTACCAGAGAAAGCCGAGAAAAATAATGTAGGTTTTGCCTCCAAAACCTCAATAATCAAGGCTGTTTGGCTTGCAGACAAAAGAGCTAATTGTTTTCTGAGGAGAACAGTTTTCTTTTCTTGTTCCTTCACCATCTTTCAAACCCATTTTTTTATTGTTCCTTTCTGTATTAAACATGTACACACCTGTGTGTCTTTCTTATCCTCAAGTGCACATATGCATGCAGTGAAATCTCTCTGTGACCACATTTCCTGCCCTGAAATCCAGGGAAATTCAGAGGGCACAGCCTTTCATAGCCGCTCTCTGCTTGAGGTGAACTCTACCTGTCAAAGGCCTCTGTCTGCATAACGCTCATTTCTGATCTCACAAAAGACCAAGAATTGGAAAGTGCCTTTCAAAACACCTTTTATAAAAAAGCCTGTTGTAAGATCGATTTTCCACCATGATTGGAGTGTTACATACCTATCTCAGAAAAATTGGAATTTAAATAAAAGAAAGCAGAAAATAGAAAGGGGAGGGAGAGGGGAGAGGGGAGAGAGAGGGAGGGGGAAGGGAATGGAGATGTTTTCCTCATGGCTAGGTGGGTACTCTAGGTGGGGCCCTGATCAACTGCAGGGTACGCAGTAGGATGTTTTGCGGGTAGTAGTTTGCAGGCCCTCAATGAGCTGCCTGCATTTATCTCTGTCCGTATGCCAAGTGGACCCTAATACAAAGTAAGAGTGCTATAAATATTCATCAAATATTCAATATTTTACTTTAATTGTGATCTATATAACACATGCTAAGGAATAAAGAGAATCAGCCAGCAACCAGTGGGACCCTGGAGCACCAGAAGCAGTCATTGTGGCCAGTCCTTCGTCTAACAAGTAAAGGACAAGTGGGAAGAAACATCGTGTACCATTCTGATTAAGCCTTCTTAGAAAAGCCTAACTGTATGCTGTCATTTAGACTCAGTCTTCTTAGCCTGGTGTGGTGGCACATGCCTTTAATCCCAGCCCTTGGAAGGTAGAGGCAGACAGATTTCTGTGAATTCAAGACCAGCCTGGTCTATACAGAGAGTTCCAGGACAGTCAGAGCTACATAGTGAAACCCCGTCTCTACAAACAACAGACAAAACAAGATATCAGATTCTTGCTTTAGGAGAAGATTGGAAAGTGAAGTTTATCTTCAAATTCTTCTATATCGTCGGTCCTAAGTTCTGACAGTACATCCTAATTTTTCTTGGCGATTAAAATAATCAGATGCCTAGCCTGTCACTGGGAATTACTGAACAAGGGTGTTCAGAACTCATATGTTCACATTTAAGAATTAAAAAAAAGGAATTACTTATTTTATATTACATGTATGAGATTTTGCTTGAATGTATGTCTGTGCATTATGTGTGTGCCTAGTGCCCAAGGATGTCAGAAGAGGGCTTTCCATCCCCCGAAACTGGAGTTAGGGTGGGTGTTGGGAGTAGAACATGTGTTTTCTGTAAGAATAACAAGTGATTTGAACCACCGAGTCCTCTCTCCAGTCCCTAAAATGTGTATCCCAGGATGGCCTTGAACTTGTGAACTTCTTACTTCTGCTCCTTCAGCACATCCCACCAGCACGAGTCACCACAACAGGAACATGCACATATTTAAAAAGAAGCTTCATAGATGGTCCTGATATTGTTCTGCATGGTCTATTACCCTTCTGTGCTGTTATTTCTGGAGGCCAGGTTTTACCAGCTAAACTGGAAGCTCTGACTCTGAGAATTTCAAATCAGAAAATTTCCATGATTTTCTATTCATCAGGCTGGCCAATTATTACTGTTCATAAATGGAAACTTTTTGAATTCTTCCTTTGAAGTCAACACATAATAAATTACAATATACATTTTCTTCTCTTTAATTGTAACAAACTCTGGCTAGTAATAAATAATTGCAATAAATTCTGGCTAGTGAGGAAAAAGTCACACTTTCTAGCCTTCTAGATAGACAGAATTGATCATGTGACTTGATTTTGGCCAATGGGATATGAGAAGAAGTAATTACACAAATTTGGGCTGTACTAAAAAAAAAAAAAGCTTATACCCCCTTCTCTTTTTTCTCCTGTCTACTAGAGACTCACTGTAGCAACTATGTTCTAGACAATCACGTGACAGAGAAATGATCTGTCTCATGTCAGACCTTGTATTTTTGCCCTCTTTAGAAAAGTTCAGCCAGTAAAGTCTGAATTTCCTAGATCTTATTTCCTTTGTTTAGTGTCTGAAACATAACACATGAGAATATCCTTTGGGGCTGCCATCAAGTCTCCTGCTTTCTTTCTACTTCTGAAAGCCTGGTGTTTGTAGTCACACCTGTTTATTCAATAGCTACATGTAGACTGGTGCTCCTCTGTAACAGGGAAGAAAGGGATACACAGTTTCATGCTGTGGCAAATGGGCCGGCAGAGGGCGAGAATCTTAGAATTCAGCACTGACTGTAACTTATTCATGGCGGTACAGGTTTCCTTTCCTTGACGGATGAAACGCAGAGTTGGATGACGCTCCCTACCCTCTCTGTGTAGGCATGGGCACAGGATGAGCTCTTGATTCATACTGCCAGCCCACTGCCTTCACACTTCCTGGACTACTTCCTATTGCTTGTCCCTCTAAATTCTGTTTATTTATTCATTTATTTTTTTTTTGTTTGCCTCTTCAGATTCACTTCTCTCGGAGCCTGCTGTCATTAGTGCTCTTGGAATCAACTTCATGCTCCCTCTGGATTGAGAAACCATTTCCCCCTTGCCTCCTCTCACCCCACCACAATATTTCAACCATGTCGAACATTCTTCTTGCAGGTTGCATTTACAGAGAAACTGTCGACTCAGAAAAGTAAGGTCAGACTAGCAAGCGTGGCTTTTGCTTCAGATGAGTTCTCTATTGTTCTTTTCTGTGGTATTGTTTTTATATACTTCTGTTTTTCCAGTAGTCTTGGGCTGCATGCTACATTTCTAGTCTTGAGAAAAGTATGCTTGAAAGAACATAGAGATATCCTAGAGAACGTTCTGTTTCCTCTGATAGCACAATGCCAACTGCAGTCATTGTTTCTGTGTGTTCTTCAGTTGTTCTTAGAGTTGGGGTGTTTGTGCAGGTCTAAGTCTGGTATCCTTTTGTGTTGTCAGATGCCCATTACAGTGTGTGTGTGTGTGTGTGTGTGTGTGTGTGTGTGTGTGTTGTTGGCAGAACTGAAACAAGCATGTCAGCAATCAGTGAGTGTTCATTAACACCGCAGAAAAGCTACGATCCCAGGTAGCACTTCTA